AGGCAAACTGGACCGTGTGCTTGAGTTGCCTTCAGACGGCTCGGATGCATTCGCATACGAACTGTTCCTTATTTTTCACTTTTCCGCTTTCCAGTCTTAAGTCTCATCTGACGACTTACATAGTTGCCAGTATTTAGTGGCAAAACTCATCTCAACTCTTAAGTGCCAGGCTGAGACCAACTTTGCTCTATTCTGTTTCCAAATTATTTGGGGCGCAAAAGTCATGGGAATCTTAGTGTAGTTTGCATGGCTCCTGTCATTAAATGGGATCGTCAAGGCCATTTCACCGATGTGAAGCATTATATTTAAACGTTTATATGTTATGACCACACGCTGCTGATTAACGTTTTTCCAGTTTCAAACTTTCTACAATTGTGACAATCGCTTCTGCCAAGTCACCCAGCAAATGATACGTAATTGTTTTGGCACTCAGTCGCCATTTCTCGACATTTTTGATCTGCCCAACACCGCATACCGTGTGGGTGTGAGGAGGTGAATCACCTTCCTTTGAAATTTTGGAAATTAGTTGTTTCCGATACACCCTAATTAACCTCCAGAATGCCTTTGCCAGTTGATGAGAGTCCTAAAATGAAATCAAACCATTATCCAGCTAGAGGTCATGTTTATGCGGAGCGAAACGAACACCAAATAAAGTGCGCTTAGAAACTATGGAGTTCGGGAAAACAACTCCTACTATTTTTAGTTGGGTAGTTAGTAGTATGTGTGACAACTGATTCATCACTTAATTGCGGAACTTACCCTTGCATTCTCACGTATATTCCTGATGTGCCTCCAGGGTAGAACTTAATTAAAAGAACAGTGTTTTGTTAGCATTGAGGCAGAGCTTTTGTCAGGCCTGAAAAACGTCAACCTACGGAGTTGTGGAGTGAATGCCAACTGACTCATTCCCAGTTGAAGGCGAGTTGCAGAGCACATCTCAAATACCTTCAGAAGATGATCCATGACTACAGAGCAACTGCCAGCAAGCAGATCAAATAAGACAAGGTAGAGTAATTTGATCTCTTAAAATTAGGCAGTTTACCAGGATCTGTACTGAACCTCAGCAGCACTGATTGTAGGCACCGGGGATGCAAACGCAACCCCACGAACAATCTTATAGAGGCGATGGAGGAAGTTGTTGGTGTCTCCAGTTTGGATGCTACCTTCTCTATGCAGCTCTATGATCTCCTAAAAGGTGGTGACAATTGTGACTGCCATTCGTCACACCATCCATCAGTTGTCAGTCTTGAGGTGCGTTTTATCACAGGCAAGTTGAACAATATGTCTACATTTTGGTTGAAGCACTCTACCAAACCAGTTAAGATGAAGGTCAAAAGCTCTGATAAGCAAGGAAACAAAAAGTTGTACTGAAAAGTGGAACGTACTTGTCGCAGTGTATAGAGGGAACGATCCCATGCAGGTTTTTCAACTGCTCCAACTACGGCCTCACTCCGTAGTGCTATCAAGGCTTGAACCGCATCATTCGTAAACTTAATCTAGGAAAAAAAAACAACATAAAATAGCGAAAAAGTAATGAAACCGAGTACGCATGTAGAATACATGTTTTGAGTAATCTGTTGATAAGTTTCATAAAATACAAATCGTACATCGGGATTTTGCTTTTCACAGAGTTCGACGTCTGTCAAAGTGTCAACCACAATTGGGTTTTGTTTGCGCGTCCAGCAAATCGAAGTGACACAGTTGTCAACCATCGCCTTTATCATTTCTCTTGTGATTTGACTTTGAATCTACTTGAATGCTTTAAGAAAAGGCAACTCTTGCCTCCGCGATGGCTTGCGATGGACCAGTGAAGGGACTGTCAGGCCAAAATGCAATTCCAAAGAGGTGAAGCGTTATGCCAGAAGCCGAGCAGTACAACGGTGGATTTGTGGTGAACTTCCAGGTTTCGGAGAAGACCCCTTCGTGACCCGATTGGAAGGAGATATGAAGAGTTTTTGACTCCCCACGAGCGATTCCACCTAGTGGGGAGAAAATGAGAGCAGTCGCACTTTTTTCCACCTTATTTAAACTAATGCTTTGAAAGGCGATTCGACAAGTTGGAGCGCCATCTGAGGCTCCACTCATTTGTCCGCCGTCACATTTCGCCCAACTTGCGTCTTGCATGCCTTGTCTGCACCGAGGATGCGTGTGCTACGCCATTTGCATATCTCGAATGACATTCTTAGCGATG